GATGCGTTAAATGGAAAAATAAGAAAGATAAATTTGCCTTGTCGAGGAACTGAGATCGATTCTTCCGCTTGTTAACCCGACAAGTTAATTCCTTATTCCAACCAAATTTCTTTCGTCTTAACGGTACAGATTCGCCTTACGTGTACTCATCTTGATTATCTGTACGTTTTAATTGCGATGCGCTTACGCAATCAAGTCTCGTGCATTTTTTACTAGAAGTTCCGGTGGAAAAATAACTTGCTCAACAGGTTAGTACGCATGACTGGCAAATTTGTCGTAACCTGTTCGAAGAGGAAACGATCGCGTTTGGAACATCGGAGTTATTTAATGATTACGTGTAACGACGAAAATTATAGGATTTCAAATTCCAAGATCCCTTAGAGGTTTCCCAAACGTCTCCAATCCTCTAAATCCATAAATCTATTCCCCGATAAATTGAATCTCTTCCCCCATAAAATTATCGTCGAGCGTGAAATAATGGAACACAAACCGTCTATCAGTTTTGGGGTAAAAAGGGTTGGTCGTTGAACGTCTGACCTATAATTCAACCGACAAAGACACCTTCAGAGTCTGATAAAAGGAAAAAAGGGAGAAAAAGTTGTTACGATTGGTACCGTGTCCTGGGTCGATCCACGAACGACGACAGAAGGTCGAATCCTAGACGCCGACACGGGATGGTTGGTCTCCATGGAAACCACCTTCTCGTCTCATCGTTCTCCGGCTCATCCTCCTCGACGTATCGCGAGAGAAGAGGAGAGAAGAGGACCAGGAAGCGAGGCAGATGAGAGAAACGAACAAGAAAAAAGAGAAATAGCGAGGGGAGAAACAGGAGACAGGGGGGTAGGAAGATAGCAGCCAGACCACGGAGGGCAAAACGGCAAGAGGAAAAGAGGCATCCGATGCCGGGGAGGTTATTTGTTATGTGCTGTGTTATACGCTCGCCTTCGTCTTCGCGTGCATCCCTCTCGCGTGTGCACACGCCTGTATTATGTACACAGCAGCCACTCTATGGGAGAAATAGAAAATTGCTGCTCGTTTTTCCGGCTCATTTATACCCCTGGAATCTTATGAATTAGGACACTTGCACGTGTAACTATCGCGTATGACAAGTTTCGCGTAAAAGCATCCCAAAACGAAAATGTCTGCGTTAACGTTTCGGTTGTAACACGTAATGGAACCAGTAAAACTGCACTCCTTTACTGGATAGTCTAATACGACTTCATAACATAAAAGCATCGTATAACACTTGTATATCAATTTCAAGCTTGAACTTTGCTGAAAACGACTCGTGAAGATTCTTATTACAAAATGGCCGTTGTAATGGAGCACGGTGAAATTCGTGCTCTCGTACGAAATGGTCTGATTTCATAACGTAAAAGCATCGCACAATAATACTTATCATATATCAATTTAAAGCTTGCTTACTGAAGAGGACTATGTAAGTGGTTTAAGAATACTCTCGTTACAAAATAGCTGGTTGCAGCAACTGCGGTGAGATTCATGTATTTACCTGAAAGTCTAACGTGATTTAACGGCACGAAAGTATCAAGAAATAGAACTTATGAGACATCAATTTGAAGCTTTAATAAAGACAACCGAAAGATTTCGTTGGTTTCAAAAGTGGCCAGCTGCCAGATACAACAAACAATGACCGAACTTGAAACACATAAACTCTGACAAGGTTTGCGACACAAAAGTGTCACATATCAATTTGGAGCTCGAAGTTTGATACAAACGACCGTGTAAACGTTTCATTAATGTTCTGCGCGCGAAATGGTCGACTGTCAATTGCAACAAACAACGCGCAGCGAAATTCGTGTAACGTATCGCGAATTTCAATCGAGGTATTCTATGCCGGTAATTAAATACAATATTTAGAGAACATACAGTACGCGACAGTGTGTTAAATGTCGATCAGAAAATATGATTGACTCGATGAAAGCGCCTACGATTTCCACAGATCACTGCCTACAAATTGTTAAAGTTGCCGGAACGAGACTGACTTAATTATTTTCCGAGGCGAATTGAACGAAAGTCAAAGAATCGGCCCTTTTTGCCCGGCGCTCGTGATCGCGCGGCTAAAGGTCGTCGGTCACGCGATCACGCCCTCGCTCGTTAACACCTACACGCGTGTACAGGTGGATAAATTCCACGAGGAAGCGCGCTGGTAGGCGGCAAGCACGCGCATTACAATTCCAACATGGTTAACGCGTTCCCTCCTCTTAATCAGCTCGAGACCTCCTTGAGTCTGTTCTCCTTGATAAAGAGGAAGCCGAGGTTAACCCTTTTGTTCAGAATCTGTTCAAAACCCATACATTTTCTACTTTCCCCGTTTCACTGCACCCGTGTGTTACTACGCTGATAAAAGTGCAATAATTTTTCGTAACATTCGTTGCTGCTTCTACTGAAATAATGGGAAATGTGTTCAGATTTTTCAAGGTGGTTCACTGAAATGCAATGTTGCCTCCGGATGTACAATTTGTAGATAAAGGTTTTTCCGAACCACAAAGGATGACAAATCGTGTCGAAGTCCTGCGATGACTAAGGTTGAGGTTGTTTACGGAGTTTCAAACGGCTCTACAGAAAATTAGATGACTCAATGCTAATGACTCAATGTAAACCGTACACATGTTGTAGATACTTTTCACTTTGAAAAGTGTCAAGATTTTCTTTCAACAGAAACATAATTAATAGAAATTGATGACAAGGAACGAGTACTTAAATTAATAGGGAGAATATGAAGCACAGAATGAAAGAGGTTGGCAAGGGGTTAAAAGAGGGCGAGATTCAGGGTTGATGTCGGTGGGCGTTTCGTAGCTTCCGAGGTGGCAGGAAGTGGCTGCAAAGAAACGTACCGACCTCGAAGGTAAATCAAGAGTCTTAAGGGGAACCGGAAACGGCCGATTCGGAGATTAGATCCGAGCTCGCTTCGCCATCGTCCCGTAAAAGTGTCTAACACCGAGGTTCCCCTAATCGTCCAATTACTTTCGCCTGTTCGCTTCAGCAGCCCCGTGAAATCACGCGTTCGCGCGAGTCGAGTGCAGCCTTTCGAGGGTTCGATTTGACGCCCGATGAAAGCCGCGAAATCGGTTTAATCAGCACACCAAGGCCAGTTCAAATTTACCCGAACGAGAGTCGAACTCCCGTAGCCCGTGGCTTCGAAATGTGCCGAGAGGGTAGCCGGTCGCGAGAGCTGACCTATAATAGGCGTCGCAAAGTGGCCAGTGTATTCGAAGGGAGGACCGTGTCGAATGGTTAATTCATGAAACAGTATCCCTTGCTTCTCCCTCGGCCACTTTCGACCCCCGAAACAGCCTCCGTCCCGTTTAGAAACGTTCGAATATCAATGAATCCACAGGTTTTGGACCTTCCACAACTTTTCACGGGAGCACCTCCCTTGGTCAAGATAAACAAGAGGGATAAAGACAAACAAATATTTGGGTTTTGACGCAGTCGACACGGTTAGTCACGCTGTCTACATATTTCTAGCCAGGAGCAATTATGTGAAATTTACAAATTGCCAGCTTCAGGAGTTACCATTCTCGAATTAGATACCCTGAATACTCTGCACCCTTTAATTTCAACAAGATCCTGAATAAATCCCAAATTAGTAAGTATCCTAATCTCCAAGTACCCAAATTCGCAAGTCCCAAGATCCATTCATCCCCAAATCCCAAGACCTAAGGCCCCACATCCCTAAATCCCCAAACTCCGCAAAAACGCAGACAAAGCTGTTAACAATTCTAGAGTGTTCTTTAAGCAAAACCCAATCCTTTTTACTTTCCTACGGACTTTCCAGGTGTTCGATAAAACCGCTCATAATCAGATGACCGTCACTCACGAGACGTTAATAGGGTTTCCATGTTAATTCGATCGCGCGACACGTGACAATTCAGGTATTAAACGAATCGAACGGTCGATAACGGCAGGGAATCTATAAAGGAAAGTACCGTCGGAGTAGGGGCAATTGAAAATTCGGTCGAACGCGAAAGAGCGAGGGCGGCATAACATTTTCCCGAAAATAAATGTGCAGATGTTTAAGGTAAACAGTTATCGAAGCGCACTCGGTGTAACGTAAATTTTCCACGCGTCGTCGAAATATATTTTCCCCCCTCGTTCCGGTGTGCACGTGTTGGTATATGTTTCACGCACGTGTATGCGTAGAATCGCGAGTCAAATATAAATTACCCGGGACGTGGAGTTAATGGGAAAGGTCAGTGACTGTGAAACACGGCTGGAAATTGACGTTCACGGTTTTTGCGGATCGCAATGAATCCACAGGTTTTCTTTTTTTTTTCTCCTTTTTTTTTGTCGTGTTTTCCATGGGCCGCTACTTTGTTTCCACCGAGCCGGCGCAAATAATTTCAACGCTGCAGTTTTATGAAAATATTTCTGTCGAAAGAATACGAGGTAACCCGGTACGTCCCCGCGCCATCCTCGAACAACGTTACAAACGCACCTATTAAATTAGCCCCGGTGGTTTTGTCGTTTCACCGTACCTATTGTCGGCCATACAAAAGAATGGTAGGGAGGGAAAAAAACACGGGAATTAAATTGTTTCGAAATGTCCGTTTCCGGTATTCGTTGCAAACGGCCGTCGTTAAAAATATTAGTGGCGATAAAAATTGTTTTGTTCGGGTTAATCGTGTTTCGAGTGAAATAAACGTTACGTGGATATTAATTAATACGTTTCAATTTAAATGATCCACTCGGACTGTTCCTTTTTTTTTTAAATATTCAACAGCTCCATCGAACGTCGAATATTTTACCACGCTCCGGTATTCGCGCATCCATTATCCAGGTATTTGAACATTCGAGTATTTAACGAAGTTTAGTTGTCGGTATTAAGAAGCTTGTTATCGTCAGTCACATAATGGGATAGCTTTCGGGCGCAGAGTCGCACACGTAACAGGGTTTCCCGACTTGATCGCGCCATCGAGCATTTTCACTAGTCAGAGGATTACCCCCGAAAGGAACGTACACGAGGAAATTTTACTTACGAGGCTTCGCGGCTTCCTGCGGCGTCACTTCAGTCAACTGCAAAAAAAAAACAATGATTGTTCGCGACTGATACGATATCGTATTCGATCCGTATGACGCCCGCGATATCGTCGATAAAGTGTACCGTGTAATCGAGCTATCTCTGATTTTCAATTAAAATTTAAAAAACCTATTTTTCACGAACAGCGTTACGCGAAAGATAAAATTCGAGGCCAGAAATACACACGGTCATTCGTTTAAAAAATGATATCGACCAAAGCGTTTACCGTGTACGTGTCGCGTGCAAGCTGGCCAGTCGTGGTCTCGCAAATTTCAATTAATCGTGCTGCTCCATCGCCGGAGAGAAAGCTACCGTCGCGAAAAAAAGGTTACATCGTGCGTGCTATCGCGGAAAAAAGAACTTCGTGTCGCGTCTAGCCGAAATTAATCCTTCTTAGACTGATATGTGGACACGCCACAAATCTCTGCCTTGCGAAATATAAACTATACTTTCACTACTCTTATTTATTGCATGCGTGACTTATGTCTCGCGATAGACAAGACTCAATAGCGGAAGCTATTTCAATTCTAACTTTCCTAAGTTATTTTTGTCAGCTTAGCGTGTCTGGTGAGACTTAAAATTGAAATAACTTCATGACATCACGTTGAAATAAATCTAAAAACGATGCATTTCGACGACTATCGTAGGTGCACATTTCGAATCGCTTTACCTGCAAAATAATCGCGTCCTAGTTACGTCCCGTGTTAAATCGAACACCACGAACAATGCATTTCAATCCGAGCGCAATTAAAATCGAGTGGCGTTTACAAGCATAAAGACATTCGTGCATTGTGCAATTTGTTTACGCTTAATCATCGAAGCCGTCGAAATAGTTGAGTCCCGTGCATCTCGCGAGCCATTCTTTCCCCGTGGTCGAGCCACCGCTCTTCTTCGTCTCGTTCTTGCAGCCGAGTCGGTGCTTTTCGGAACACGAAACTCTTGACACGATGCCAAGTGGCACGAAACCTCGGGAACACCAACATCGATCGATCGAACGAACCGTCGAGTATTTAGTTGTGGCCACCGACTAGCCTCGTGTACAACGGAGAAACCGAAAATCCGCGTTTACACTGGGCGTCCGCGTTTTATGTAACGAAAGGATGGACGACGGCGTTCGCGAGGAAGCCGCCTTTATCCGCAACGAAAGGCGTCCGTCTCGACCAGAGAGAACGAGCTTCTTGACGCTGTGCCAAGTGGCACGAAACACTCTGCTCGATGCGATTCGAAACGTTTCCACGATCGATAGTCGCGAGACCACGACACGCGTGTGACAAACCGATCGTTCGATTCTACGGCTCGTATAAACGCTGATTTATATTGTTCGCTCGGACACGCGACACGATCTAACGGTTTCGCTCGGACAAATACTCCTTAAACCGCTGTTTACGTACGAGAACTTTTAACCGGGACAATTTTTCAATCGCACGAAAATCGAGAGGTAAAGGTCTTGCGAAATATGCAGATTTTACGGTTAGGTTCAGAGATGCTCAGAGATTGATTAACACTAGATTTACGGAACTCGGATAATAGGTCTATTTTAGATGACAGAGTTTGTTAAGAAATGTTTGTAAAAATGTCAACTTTCATCAACTTTCAACAAAAGAATCAATGTTTTAAGCAGTTCACATCATCATCTGCAATTTATTTATTTTTCTATTTTAGGTAAATTTAAATAAAAGTGACCATCAAACGCCCGTAAATCTAGTGTTAACATAAAATTTTCTATTTCGGAAATTTATAAATTTGGAAACTAATATTGAATTCGCGAATAAAACGAGTGGTTGCGAAATAAAGAGATGCTCACCTTCGCCAGTACAGGATTGAACGTGAACTTCGATTCGAGTTCCTTCCTCGGTGTCTGGGCGATGGCCGTCAGAGGCGTGGGTGGCATGGTCATTTCCTGAAACACAGACGATCGATGGTCGATTAGCATTCCCGGTGTAAACGAGACGATTCGAGTGACGAGTTAACGCTTTCACTGTCGCGATTAACTCGTTGGAAGTACAAACGTCCGTTTGAATTTACTAAATATAGGTCCATAAAAGTTTGTAACCTCGGCAAGATCATTATCCTATCAAATATTCTCGCATTACTCCGTATGATTAACGCGTCGATCGACGAACCATCTTTCAATTAAATCCCATATATCGATTATCCGAACGATTACAATCATCTTGACAAACTACTCGAAAGAACCATTTTCACGATATATCTTCAACATATCGTGTTGAAAGCAGCATGAAGGCATAATGTAACGGAGCGAAGAGACACTGTCAATACATGTTAGTCTTGCTAGTAGACGAATTTTTGTGAACCTCACGTTGGAAAGAGAAAACGGTTTCTTAGAAGTAAATTCCTTCTGGCAATAGTCCCTAACGAATACCTGAACCGTAGCATCGGAATTTGGCGCCAAATGAAAGATAAACATCAAAGTGCAGAAAGTACCTAACATTCCGAGAGAAAAAAGTTGACGTTCATTCACCGCAAATCTCGAATTTGATACTTGAATTGGAGAAAACGTAGCCATGAAACAAGCGTTCCCTTCTCGCATGGTTGGCGCGTAATTCGCGTAAAAGCTGACCCTTTTCCTTTCATCGAGGCATCGTCACCCAGCCAGGGGTTGTGCAAGCCGCAAACACACGGGCTCTTTTGCGTAAGAGCGGGCGCATCTGGGCCACGATTACGTCAATGAGCACCGAAGGAGCAAAGCAGACAGAGAGAGAGGAAGAGGTCTACTAATTCCGTGTATGATCAGCCATGCCGAGCAGGTACTCGGAACTCGCGTCTATTAACGCTGGTCCGGGCGGTTTTGCGTGCATCCACACTGTCGGCGGAGAGGGCAGGCTAGAAGTCGCAAACACGCCAACAATGCAGCCTCTGGTGTGTGGAGCGACATAGCGCAGCGAACGAAACGCATTTCCATCGGGCGAATCGTCGAGACCGATTCATTGACCCGTCGAGACATCCGTCGACGGGAACAAAGAGCGACGAGACAAAAGGCTCCGCTCTTTCTCGTCTACCGTGCTTATGTTCTTTCTACGATCAACCGCAGAACTTGTTTACCAACGAGCCTCGCGTTACACCGGGAACTGTGCGAAAATTACGACGATTGGATTCTTACTCTCTCGTTCATAATACGCTCGTAGGATTCGCTTGGGAAAATACTAATATAGGCGCAGGAAAATTTATACTTTCCTTTTACTTGGACAATTTTCGATGAGGTTTAGGGATTCGTTGAATACGTGGGGATGTAGATATTTGGACTATTAGCAATCAGAGATTCGGACTCCCAGGAATTTGGGGATTTAGGAATCTGGGAATTTAGGAATTGAGAGATGTCCGAGATCGAACTCGGTTGTAAATTAGTTTACAAGTGTCAGGTTAGTTGCTATTGCAATTAAGTCGTATTACATTTGAGGCGCTTTCTATTCTCTTTTTCTACATTTTTCTTTAGTATGTGCATATAATTTGAAAGATATTGAAAGTTGTAGTCGATAGAAAGAGAAAAGACCGACTTAACGTGTCGCCTCCTCAGGTACCCTCCTTTCAAAAGACAAGTATACAATACGACAGTGCAATAAACGTTAATCATCTGCATAATAAACCTGCACTCAATAGATTTGGTTTTCCCCGGTCATTAGAGACTAGATGTACAAGTAAAAATTTAGAAGTATTAAAGAACACCGGTGAAACAGTTTGCAACATTTAGCCACGCGTTGTCAAGAGTCGTTCTGACGCGCGATCAACTGAGAATCTGGCCCTGGTTCTTGGCACCCTAGCGTATAACTTGAAACAGATCTTCGACCCAGTGACCTACACACAAATTCGTGTGCATATTTCCTCGTTCGAACGTAAACCAGAAGCGGGTTTTGACAGTAGGCAGGTTGAATTGATAGACAAGAATTGGAACCCGCAAGTTGCGTCCAAGGACATGTTCGAATCAAGACCGTATTTTAACGCGTTTTCATAATTTATTAAGACGGTAGGTACGGTATCGATTACCGATAACCGATGTCCACGGATTTAATTCTATCAATATATGTATTAATAATTCGGAATAAGGAATTGAGGCACTTAATTATTAATCTTTGATAATTCGAAATAACGAATTGTAGCATTAAATAATTAATCTTTACGTATGCTATACCGTATTTAAAGGGTAATATGTTTGAAAAAATGTCCCAGAAACAATAAACGATAGTATAATAATAACTTACACGATTTTATATTTTAATAATTGCAAAACTGGCAGTCGACACGCGTTCCATCGTGCCATCCATTTGTCATCGTTTAATCTCTTTTAACCACTTCCGTCGACACGTTTCAACACAAATTATTCACCGATCGTTCCCAGCGTTTATCAATCGAATCGAAAAATTCGCGTTGCATCGCGAAATATCGTTGTTATACGTATATCTAGCGGAGGGAGGAAAAAAGAATAAAATGCAACCGCGGTGGATCGTTCTACGATCATGCATAATGTAACTCGGCGCGTCGTGAATATAACGGTGCACGGCAATGGCAGCGTTATCCTTCGAGCGGAAACGTACGGCGGAACATCGTTACCAGTTAACGTTTCGATATTTTTCCGCTCCATATTTCTTCCCACCGAACCAAAATCGACTACGTGTCACGTTACCAATCTACTTTAATCCTTTAAGTGCTACCAACACATTTGCGCTTACAGAAATTGGAACAGCTACTCTATCGTTAGACCGTGGCTGCAATTGCGGAAGCGTGGAACTTTTGGAATGTCAATGGAGTGAGTTGGGCGATGGAAGCGCGATTACTGCGCTGCGAATTTCACGCGCTGAGAGTTCTATGCGTAGAAAATACAACGCGTTGAGAATTCTACGCGTTAAGAACTCTACGCGCTGAGAATTCCACGCGTTGAAAATTCCACGCGCTGAGAACTCTACGCGTTGAAAATTCCACGCGTTGAACATTCCACGCGCTGAGAATTCCACGCGTTAAGAATTCTACGCGCTGAAAATTCCGCGCGTTGAGAATTCTACGCGTTAAGAACTCTACGCGCTGAGAATTCCACGCGTTGAAAATTCTACGCGCTGAAAATTCCACGCGTTGAGAATTCTACGTGTTAAGAACTCTATGCGTTGAAAATTCCACGCGTTGAAAATTCCACGCGCTGAGAACTCTACGCGCTGAGAATTCCACGCGTTGAGAATTCTACGCGCTGAAAATTCCACGCGTTGAGAATTCTACGTGTTAAGAACTCTACGCGCTGAGAATTCCACGCGTTGAAAAATCTACGCGATGAGTATTTCACGCTGTGAGTATTCGATGCGTTGAAAATTCCACGCGCTGAGAACTCTATGCGTTGAGAACTCTATGCGTTGAGAACTCTACGCGCTGAGTATTCCACTCGTTGAGAATTCCACGCGTTAAGAACTCTATGCGCTGAGAATTCCACGCGTTGAGAATTTCTCGCATTGAGAATGCCACACACCCAGAATTCCCATCACAGAGAATTTGATATAACGAAAATTCCACGCGCCAAATATATAACACACTGAGTATCCCACGCTCCAAGAAAACTTGATGCACCACAACGCGTTGAAAATACATCACACTAAGAATTCCACACGTGGAAAATTCTACGCTTCAAGAATTCCAACCCTTCACTGAATTTTTAACGCATTGACAATTCGTCATGACACGTGCTCTAACACGCAACAGCGTAATGCATACCAATGCATCGCATTGCAATATAACGCGAGACATACAGTGTTTCGGAAAAGCATTCGAAGTAATCTGTTGTCGATTCGTAGATTGACACGAGTGACAATAGTAAGATAAAAAAGATGAATAAAAAGAACGAAATGAAGCGAACGCCGATCTGTCGTTAATCGCAACTTATTATTCCCGGTCGGTCGTGTGCAGCTTCGAGACACGCGTGACTCGCGTACGAAATTTGTACAATTTGCATCGCACCGCTCGCGGCTCGCCGAACGAGAAAGGATTCAACGCGTTTGCCAAGAGGAGAGAATTCTCCGGGGGCTGAGTCAGAGAATTCTTCACCACCGACCTACCATTTCGTGCGAACCAGTTACACGAACCGTGATGAATAAGTTTATTCGCCTGGATCACGAATTACGGGACCGCTCTTCGGAAGTCGTCGGTCAAACAAGTAATTTACTATATTCGGAATACTTGTCGATACAATTTATAAATCGTCATCGAATGCTATTCACCGCCAATTATTGCCTGCATAAATTAACGCCTTGACACACGGTTTAATTAACTGACGTGCACGTGGCTATAATATTCTAAGCATGTCTAGATGCTCGCGTGATTCAGATGCTAATTGGAACGCGAAATCGTTAGGTAATCCGGTTTTAACCTGCGAAAATATGCTTAAGGATTGTCTATTTGTAGTGGGAGTGCAGTTACTGCTCTGAGAATTTCACGCGCTGAGAATTCTATGCACTGAGAATTCCACGCGTTGAGAATTCTATGCGCTGCGAATTCCACGCATTGAAAATTCCAAACGTTGAGAATTCTACGCGTTGAGAACTCTGCGCGCTGAGAATTCCACGCGCTGAGAATTCCACGCGTCGAGAATTCCACGAGTTGAAAATTTTACGCGTTGAGAATTCAGTGCGCTGAGAATTCTACGCGTTGGGAACTCTATGCGCTGAGAATTCCATGCGTTGAGAATTCCACGCGCTGAGAATTCTATGCACTGAGAATTCCACGCGTTAAGAATTCTATGCGCTGCGAATTCCACGCATAGAAAATTCCAAGCGTTCAGAATTCTACGCGTTGAGAACTCTACGCGCTAAAAATTCCAACGCGCTGAAAATTCCACGCACTGAGAATTCTATGCGCTGAGAATTCCACGCGTTGAGAATTCCACGAGTTGAAAATTCAGTGCGTTGAGAACTCTACGCGCTAAAAATTCCACGCGCTGAAAATTCCACGCACTGAGAATTCTATGCGCTGAGAATTCCACGCGTTGAGAATTCCACGAGTTGAAAATTCGGTGCGTTGAGAATTCTACGCGTTGAGAACTCTATGCGCTGAGAATTCCACGCACTGAGAATTCCACGCGTTGAAAATTAAGTGCGCTGTGAATTCTATGCGCTGAGAATTGCTCGCGTTTAAAATTCAATGCTCTGAGAATTCCACGCGCTGAGAACTTTATGCGTTGTCGTTCCTGTCTTAGGTCCTCTGCTACCAGTTTTAATATCAGAATATCAGTTACAATATAAAGATAGTAAGCGAAATAAAAGTCTAGTAAAACGTAGTAAAACGATGTAATAAGCGTACAAGTTTGAAGCGGAAGTCGTTTAGAAAATTTTCCCCATCGTCGAACTCGCAATGAAATCCTTTATTTCGACGTCGTCTTTGAATCGATCGCCGACTCGTTCGCAGGATAAATATTATCCTGGCCGCCTATATCGTCGAATAAACGGGGCTACCGACGCCTGAGAGACTCGTCGGATTTTCTGGAAAATACACGCGGGTCAAAGATATTTTTATCTCGTATCGCAACGCGAGCGTAACAATGTTCCGCGAAACATCTCTTCGAGAGGACTCGTGGGACTGCACTTGCGCGATGCACTCGGTCTTTCCCTTCGACGATGCACTCGACGGAACTCGATGCAACGAGTGCAGCCACCCTTTTTCAACCCCAGCGTATTCTCCGCTCCTAGTAAAATTCTAAAGTTTTCGGCTCGACTACTTTCGAACAATCGACGGTTAACCGTTGACTAAAAATTTCGAGTGCGTCTGACAGAAAATCTGCCATCTTTTTATATCGTTCGAAGACAACGGGTCGACTCGAGTCTTCGGTTACCAGTTAACTCGATCAACCTCAAATTAACCTTATCAACTCGTTCTAATTGTGTTCGAGCTACCAGGGACGATCGGCATACTAATGCAAAAGCAAAAAGTTGCGAGGGAAAATATCGTAGGATCGCCGTAGAATAGTTCGTGAATCGAAATCAGAGATCGACGAACCGTACTAGCACGAAAAGTGGATTACCCGCGATTTATCGGAGGCTACACGAGAATCGAATTTAAGCTGGCTACAAAAAAAAGCTCGGCAACGACGATCGTCAGGGAGGAGCTTGCACGCTAAATATCCCCGCAGGCTAGTCGGATAGCCCAGCCGACCGTAATGGAAGCTGAAAATCTCTCGATTAATCGACGACCGAGACTGCCATAAGGATAGAAGAAACGAGGGGTAACGAAAACCAGACCGTGACCGATCAAATGCAAAAATAGTTTCGCCCGAAACATACAAACTTTCAATATATTTGGATTTCTGGGGATTTTAGTAATCTGAATCTTTAAGTTCCCTGGACAGTTTCTATAGAACAGCTTCACGATTCTCTTAGGATACCTAAGGTTCCCGAGAGTCCTCCAAACTTGCCTTTAGGATTGTCCACATTGCTGTTAAGACTCTACAGGTCCTAAGAGCACATACTCCAGCGGTTCCACAGAGACAATTGCCCAGAGACTTATTCCATAGAGATTTCATAATCTAACCTGCTGACCAGATTCTTCCTTCAGTTCTTACTAGCTCATGTTCTCCACAAGCTAATTGTCACACTTCGTCCAACAAACCCTATCTCTAAAAGTTTTCCTATAATCTGCATAAGTTCTAACTTGTCACCCTGTGTACGACAATGTCTTTGCAACGACGTGAAAAACGTAAAAGAACATAGTTACAGGTAATATTCGAATGGCAATTGTATCGGATTCAGGAGTGCATATTGAATTTGATTTGGTCCCCGGTAACGACGAGGAGAAGAACGATATTCAAGAGCAGTTGGCTAGATACAACGATGGTGGTGGTCGTCGTTGTCGTCGTCGTCGGCGAGCGCAATTAGCAGCCGCATTTACGATGCCTACTGGCGCAACTCTCGTATTTTCCCACGGCCAGAGCCGTGAGAATAATTCATGGGCCTCGACGGTGCTTCTATACCAAACGGCCAGAGCAAAGTGGAAAGAGGATGCAGCGGAAACCCGGGGGAAGAGGACGTGGCCAGAGCTAGAACACCGACTGGCCACTGCTGGATGCCGCGCTATCGTCATAAATTCGAGCTGAAAGTGGAAAAGCCTGGAGAACGGTTACGTCCACCGCCTCTCCACGACTGATACACTGCGCGAATTAATGCTCCATTCTGCGGTCAATCTCTAACTTTAACCCCTACTGGATTCTATCGAGACCTTGGGATATTTCATTCATACGATTAGTGATAACTGCTGGAGTAAATAGACAAGTTTCATTCGATACTTGATGGACCATCACCAAAACAAATGATCACAAATCCACCTCCAAAACAAATCTGACAAATTGATCAAATTTTTACACTTTCTTAAATCATCAAGCTGTACTTAGGTACCCTCTGTACATCTTAAAAGTTCCACACATCTAATCTATACAAATATCCAAATATCCTTATACACAAACATCGAAGTACCCAAACTTGCAAATATTGAAATCCTCCCAAACACTCGGATACCTAAATATCCAAATTTTCAATCTCTCAAATGTTCAAATACCCAAATCCCCAAACTTCCAAATATACAAATCTCTAAATTCCCAAACACTCAAATGCCTAAATATCCAAATTCTCACCCTCTTAAATGTTCAAATACCCAAATCCCCAAACTTCCAAATACACAAATCTCCAAATTCCCAAACACTCAAATGCTTAAATATCCAAATTCTCACCCTCTTAAATTCTCAAACACCCAAATCCCAAACTTGCGAACACTCAACCAAGCTCCCACTCAAATACCTAAATGTACAAACTGCCAACTACCCAAATCACTGAACTCCTAAATAGCCAGGTGCAAAATTTCCAAATCCACAGTTTAAGCTAATTAAATGGCACAGATGGGTCGACAGATTTCGTCTTTGGAGATACAGCTGAAAGGCCTGGCAGCCTACAACACCTATCCACACGGTATTAATCGCGTTTCATCGACAACAGACACATGCGCTCGGACATTTATCGCCGACACTGTATCTCGATACTCGATCAAGCGTGTCACAATATTGCAACCCAATAATGATATCAATTCACTGATAATCGCTGTTAAGCCGTGTCCATAAATTAACACTGGAGCCTAGTGAGCCCTGACAGCTTTTATCGAGCCCGAAACCAAAGCGTTCTATAGAGAAATCTCGTTATACGGATGAGTTAAAATGATGGATTTTACATTATGCTCTAATTATATTATTAAGTATTATTAAGTATTTACATACTTTATTAATCCTTTCGGTGTTCGACTGTCATACGAGATACGTGTAAGATAAACTGAACCCCTTTGTGGATTATAGGGGCGACCCTGATCATGCTCCAACCCTTTAGGGTGACCATAATCCAAGTACAAAGCATTTTCAAATACCGTATAAAGTAAGTTCTGGAAAAGGTTTTATCAAATGAGGAATAAATGGTCAATGAAATAATGGAAACAGAAAACCATTTAAATGAACTTAACCCTTTACACTCGAAGGTAATTTGACTGTTTACAAACAGCAACTTTAAAACTTAATTAAAAAGCTAAATGAATTTTTTTGAGGTTTTTATTTTTTTAATAATAATTTCCACTATTGTTTGTTTCACTATGTCTATACGTGTCATGTTATAGAATCAGTTAAAAAATACTTATTTAAAATTATTGTGTTAAATATAATGGTGACTGTGAGTCACCTCTCGAGCGCAAAGGGTTAAATAAAATGACCGATTTCGCTGATCGTCTCAGTGAAGACTTATTATAGAAACCCTAAAGATTCAGTGGACGAAGATTGTCCGGAAGATCCTAGATTCCTAGACTCCCACGACACCTATTCCCCGCGCCATCATTATTCTCTATTCACGAATAGAACTAGGTCAGCAAGCAGTTTATCAACCCGATTGCAACGTGTATCAGAGATTCGACTCTGGTGTGTACCGGTGGAAACGAGTTCACGAGACGAATAATCGTTTATTCGTGCAGAAAAGATTGAATCCCGTATTTGACATCGCTCGTAGTCTCTAGTAGCCCCTAGGGTAAATGACCAATGGAGCGTCATCCGGCGACACGACGTCGACAGTCATATTTAATCGAGTAATTAAAAACGAAACGATCGCGTTCCGAATAATACGAACTTTATCGCGACCACGCCGACGTGGACTTTACCGATCAGCGAGTTAACGTTGCGCATTTACCAGATATCGGAGATAAGTTCTCGGAGGAAAAATTAATCGTCCGTCGACTCGATCGACGTCAAAACGACGGCTCTATTTATAGAGGTATATCCTTGAGGCGTAAGTTCGATTCGAGTTATTTCGAGAGCGTAAATCCACGGACACGACCATGAAAGTAATCGAAAGTTTAAGTAGAAAATCGATGATTGGTCGACAGACCGCAAACTCGTTGGCTCTCTCTTAACTTTTGACCCTTCGAGCGCTAAATACTTTTTTGACGAATCGATCGTTCCTTTTCAATCGAGAAAGTTTTACGAAAGCACGGCAAAATATCGTCAAAATCAATACCTTGATACATCAATTTCCTTTCAATTTAATTCCCAAAAGTGGAAAAAATTACCGAGCGCAAAGAGTTAATGGACGTCAAAGTTTCCGGCACTTGAAGGGTGCGAAATTGTTCGTTTCATCGACGATCACGAAAATCGATACGAGCAGACCGAAACGCCGGGTCGATTTGGCCGAACAACAGCCACGGTACAACCGCGAGATAGACAGCGTTGTATCGACGAGGAAATTGATTTATCGATCAAAGTTCGAGGCAGCCGAATCTCTGCGTTTACCGTTGCAAGTAATCGTTCGCTCACCTTCAATATGTTCTCCACATCTGCCGAATTCTCGGTGGGACCAGGCCTCGAACTTGTCCCCTGAAACAGCCAAGATTAAACAAAATTATTACTTCACCGCAAACTAACCGAGTTTAAAAGATCAGCAATCTCGTATTCTAAAACTCTTTATAGCTGACTCTGAACTCTACGTTCACGTACTCCGTATAAGGGTGGAAAAGTTAGGAAAAGTTACGGAAGTATGTTTAAATATTTCTAAAGTTCAAAAAGTTTGAACGGTGCATCTTTCCAGGGTTAAAAAGTTCAATTTTCCCACAATTTGGACGATGAATATCATTCGTTGACCTAGAGGCCCAATCAATTTTTCTGTTCGATTAAGTATGCTAACTGTAACCCCGAATCGAAACACTTCGAACAACTTATCCGAGTACTCCACCCCTAATAGCATCCCCACGGAGCCTTCAGCCATTGTCAGTCAGTTACAAGTCAGCTATCGACTAGTTAACATCCACTTCAATCAAGTACTATCAAAACCCTTTCGCAATCAATACCTTGGAAACTGCTGCATTTCAATTCGAATAGATTAACCCTTTCCGGTCCTATTTGCCCACGGTTCCCCAAAGTCTGAGTCCATCGATGGGGTTAAATATTAAGATAATCGAGTTTCGGAAACCGGAATTTTACGATTCTGGGGTTTAATCGAAATTTCTTTACTGTTCCAGACTTTCGGAATTTTTTTAACACTGAAACTATCAAACCAGTCAAATGACCACTCCACAAGTTTCTTATTATAACAAACATTTTGTTAAAACACATTCCTTGAAATCAGCATTGATTTTCATTAAAATAAAGAATAAACGTGTGTACTAATTTATATTTCGTCGTTTGTTTATTTGTTTTTTAATTTCAAATTAAGTACGCATTATATGCTGGTAGGTATGACCGCTCCACAAGTTTCTTATTATAACATACACGTTTTGTTAAAACACATTCCTTGAAATCAGCATTGATTTTCATTAAAATAAAGAATAAATGTGTGTACTAATTTATATTTCGTCGTTTGTTTATTTGTTTTTCAATTTCAAATTAAGTACACATTATATGCTGGTAGGTATGGCCGCTCCACAAGTTTCTTATTATAACATACACGTTTTGTTAAAACACATTCCTTGAAATCAGCATTGATTTTCATTAAAATAAAGAATAAATGTGTGTACTAATTTATATTTCGTCGTTTGTTTATTTGTTTTTCAATTTCAAATTATATGCCGGTAGGTTTAGTGTTAATTCGGATCTTGGGATTTTGAGACTTTGAAATGTAAGCTTAAAAGTTGATCTTTCAAATTTTTAATTCGATTAATTGGAATCAGAATATGTTGGATTTTGTCGCAATGTGGAGAGTAAATTTACTGGAACAAGTTTGTTTAAGCGGCACTCGAGGTTTTCTACGAATAGTTGTAAATTTTTTCGCTGTAGAACGAAGCGGATAATGCGTCGATGGAATTAAACGACGATAATCGAGCGAGAAGCTCGAAACTCATTCCACGCGTTAATTAAAACGATTCGATTTCGACGACAAACCAGCTTCTTTTTCCCGTTCGCATCGGTGAAACTCTCGCGAAGTCCTTTTCGCGATTTATCACGAGCTCTCGAGCGATCATTAATCAACGCTCTCTCGAGGAAAAGAGGCGTTGAAAAGAGCGGCGAGACAGCCGGCTGCGGGGCTATTACGAGCATAATGTCGAGTAGTCATTTCTAAGAGGGAAACACGAAGACAATGGGAGAAGAAAATGCGTGAATCAAGCCACGAAAGATTGAAAACGATAAGGGTGAAAGAATGAAAGTGGTCAGAGAATACGAGGACCGAAGTAAAGAAACCGAGAGCACAAGATAGTAGCAAAATTGAAAAATCGTATAATTCACTGTCGCGAGCAGTCGTTTGCACGTGACCAATTACGTAATTACGGATTAAACTCTACATAAATAATCGCAAGTTTTTATCAGTTTTTTATGAAACGGTCTTCGCGAATGAAGGATAATATTCTTAAATGATTTATCTGCACGTGTCAACGCAGAGTAATATGCATACGTAACGACTTAACGATGATCTCGTACAGCGTATTAATAAATATTTTCCAGGAAAGAAAAACTGCGCTCGAATAATTAACTGTAAACAGCATAGTTTGCAAATATTTATCCAAGAATGCAGTACGTAGCAATTATTTTTCTCTTGAATGCAACAGGGTCCACTCGCGCAATTCCGAGCTAATTTCGCGAACGACAACAAACGTTAAACGACTCGTGAACGATCGAGAAGGAGGAAGAATAGCGGGGAGGAAAAAGAAAATCAAAGGGTCAGGGAATCAATTTTCACGGACTAGAGCAAAGAGGATGTCGGCGTTTCTGCAGTCAGCTCTAATTGTATAAGTACACCGGTAGAGAGGCACTCTCGAGGAGAACGCGACGGCACAGACTGAATCGTCGAAGAAGACCCGATCGATAGTCAATCTCAATGAAATTTGCACCTCGAGGAGTCACGGGTAATAGGGCTCGACCAAACTCGCCTCTCGCTATTCCCCCCTCTCTCGCTCGTGTACACTCCTCCAGCGGGATTTCCATTGAAAAGCAATTCGTTTCCTGTCAACGAACCTGTCGCCGCGATGCTCTCGTCGAATACCATCCCTCTCTCGACGTACAGCTCGATGGAACGCGAGAGACCCTAATAACCTCTTTATTGTCGCTTCTCCACGATTAAACCTCCACGGTGGACAGCTCCGTTTCGTTCACGGAGCTTGCCCAATTTCTGGACACCTGGGCCATGAGATAACTAACATGCACAATGAAACCGATCAAAAAACTCAATATTGCTATAGGACCTATGTATTAATACCTCCACCCACCTAGGTACTGTATGGTTTGAATGTAGTGAAAGCTAGAGCTTAGTGCTATCACATTTTGCATCCATGTGTGGATACAGAGATATGAGGGTAGGTCGAATTTGACGGACATGGAACATAAGGATCTACCTCAGGATTTAAAATATGTGCGGGTAGATCCTCGAATTTGGGAGACATGGAACATAAGGATCTACCTCACTATTTAACCCCTTGCCGTGCCATTTATTTACGAGGTGCGTCAGTCAAGACTAACCATTCAGGACTATAACATTAAAACGAACGAAGAAAATTAAAATGTTCTAAGTATTTTATATTCAGGGATCCTTGACAACGCAAATTATAGTTGGATCTAAAATTCAAGTTGAAGAGTATTCAAAATTTGAGTAAGGTTTATCGCATTTGAGTTGTGAATGCGTCACGAGTCAGACTCGTTAAAGCACGGCAAGGGGTTAAACACAGATCTCAAGATTTAATCTACTGAGTTAATATTTGTTATCTAAGTAACGTAACAATATTTGAGAATGATATAAAAGTGGTCAATGTACCATGTTTCGACTATGTCATACTGAGGCACGTAATTAAAGGCAGTTAAAAGAGTCAAGAAATAAAAGGACAAGATAACCGAGTAGCTTTCAACGGAAGATAAAGAAGAAAGCCATTACAATGGGTCGTGATACCTGAAGGGTTAATATCGACAGCACCCCATTATTTCTCGATCAATCTTCCACACAATCGATCTTCTAATTTCTCCAAGCTCTGTCATCGCGTAAACACCTATCAAAGTACTGATCCGAGCAACAAGTGCACCAACGACCGATCGTATCCAATTCTGTTCTCGTACTGAACGACTACGTAGTTCCGCTCGATAATAAATGGATAAACTGGCCGAAGAAAAGTCGATCGAGGAGCGTTAATAAAACGATTACTGGGGGAGTTGCTGAACGAGTAGCAGTTGGCACTGCGCCTGCGACCGCGGAATCGAAAGCGATCGCAGACTATATCGATAATTTATATCGATCGCCTCGCCACCCTTTAGGGCTCAATATCTTGTGTACAATGCGTGATAGGAGAAATATTCTCCCATGTAATTCTAGCTTTTAGGTAGTTATTTTAGGTAAATTATTATTTTTCAATCTAATATGTACTTCGATTTCTGAAAGATCTCAGACTTTGGTATAATAGATTCGTAAATTTTCTGAAGACGAAGTTAACATGTCTTTAACACTGAAACTCCAAACCGGTTAAATGACCGCTCCACAAGTTTCTTATTACAAGGTACACATTTTGTTAAAGAACGTTCCTTGAAATCAGCATTCATTTTCATCGAGGTAAAGAATAAATGTGTGTGCTAGTTTATGTTTCATTTGTATATTTATCATTTGACTACATTTTTAATTGCAAAGTTTTATATCGATAGGTTTAGTGTTAAACTTCCAAATTTTCAGATTTCCATATTTACAACTCGGAAATTCTCAAATTGCCAATTCCGAAATTCTGAACGGACGATCGCATGATCGATATCGTCGATAAATATCGGGAATCCAGCAATACGGGAATATAGCAAAGTCCCCATAAGGCGAGGCGTAACCGGAACGAAAAGAAAAGAAGGACAGTATCGTGCGAAAGAGAGGTTGGTAACCGGCGATGGTAGCACGAAACAATGGAAATCGATACTCACGTTATCGAGAGTTAACCTGGACAGTCTGTTGCCGGCACAGTGGAGCCTGGTGGCGCCGTTGGAATTCCCAATATTCGAATTTCCAACGAGCGTACCGTTCCCCGGTGAATTCAGGGGCGGTCCTTTGGCGGGTAATAAACCGTGGCTACGATGATCGTTGCTGTTACCCCCGTGCTTGACGGGTTGGCCAGGGTAACCACCCCTGCCGCCGTACGGTGGCTTGCCGTCGGCCGGTTTCACGAAACCGCCGCGTTGATGGCTCGACGACGAGGACGAAGACGACCCCGTACGAGGTCCTCCGGGTTTCTTGAATTCTTGGGAGGACGGCGAGCTCCTGGAATTCGAACCGATCGAACTGGAACTCGTTCGAAGGGACGAGGGTGACGGGGACGGAGCTGGACTCGGTGGCACACCCTCGATACCGATCAGCCGTTTAGGCTCGTCCAGCAGATGCTTCACCAGAGAATAGTTGCCCAGTTTCGATTGAATCTGCTGCGTCGTGCTGTCTCGGGCGTCTGGGTTCACCTGTAATCAAAATACACCGTCAAAACCACCCTTAAAACCTGCTTAATATACACGCCCTGCTTTATTAAACCAACAATGTTTTCTTTTTGGGAATTCGTCGATTATTGGTAAATCTTGTGCCAGGTACTGCAACTCTGTTTGAAATCAATCATAAAACTGACCCTAAGTACTGCTATTCAACGGTGCAATAAATATCAGTTCAAACAAGCCTCTTTTCGAGAAATCAACTTGTAAAGATACCTTGTAAACTATCGAACGGTACAGGCTATGTAAACGACAAATAGAATGTAAATACAAAGTGCCAGGTACGGTAAGTTTATGGACGCCGTTAAATATAAGCATTTAAATCTATGTCTCCAAAGTTCCTATTCGAAGACACCGGTTCAAAATATTTTTGTTGCCTTAATTAATTTATGACACCACGTACACCGATTCCCGTCTGATGACGAACGAAACATTTCGAATATTCCGCTTTTGGAGGCGAGTCGATTTAACCGCGAGTTTATAGAACGCTCAAAAGTGGATCATTACAGTTTCATCCGTTGAAACGCAAGGATGTAGAGATTTCGTTAAAAATAGATTCATTAATTACTTCCAGCGATTTAGGTAATTTATCCGGTTCGGGAGGTCAGAAAAAATTCAGCAAGTTTATCGAGGAAAATTAGCCATCGCAACAGTTTGAGAAGATGATGGAAACTGGAGTGCAAAGTTGTCGTAGGACACAAGCGATCATAATTAATGTGGCGTAACAGTAGCTAGCAAGTTTACGACGTTGCCACGAGGAGAGATTCGTGTACGACCGAGATGCACACACCGGTTACATATTGTTGTAGCGACAATAATAGACAAGACAACAGGCTCGAGTGCGCATTTATGATCCAGACGCGTCCGCCTTTGTCTACGGGGACAATGAGATCAAATCGTGGTTTAATAAGGAGGCGGAGAAGGCCCGGGGAAACCTTAACGTGATTAATGAGCGCGCTATAAATCACGTACCATTTGTTCACACCGGGACCCTTTTTCTAACCGAATGGCGAACACCGACGAGCACTACCAGCCGGTTCTTTAACGAGCACCTGATGCATCGTGGCTAGAGAGTGCAATTTTCGAAGAAAATCATTAATTCGAGCCGAGGTCGCGACCACTGTGCTCGCTTTTCTCTTCTGCCAGCGACAGGATTAATCGACCAGCCTCTGAGACAAACAGCGATCGATAAGGGCCAACCTACTCCGCGGACGCCACGCTTATGGATATTGATCGATAGCTCATTTTACAATTACGAAAACTTCTCATATTTCACAAGCTTCCAAGTATTTTCCGTTTCTCGAGTTTCATACTTCTTCAGGTTTCTAAATTTCGAACTTTCTTACATCTCAGTTTTATTTACTGTATTTGCACGCGATATACGTGTTGTTCACCTAACCGAACTGACACCAGAGCACCATCTAACCCTGTGCACTATTTTAACGAGTCTGACTCGTGACCCAAACTGTGACAAATCTTACTCGAATTTTCAATATACATATAGTACTTCAATCTGGTGTTCAAGTTATAATTTGCATAATCGATTGGCATAGCACTTCAACTTATCTGTTTTAATATTGTAGCTGTGATTAACTCCTAACTGACGCACCTTACAAATAAATCATAAGGTAATCGCATACCAAACTTGTCCTACTCGAAACGAAATTGAACAGACCATAGAGTCCACAAAGCATCGATTCAGCAAAAATGCGAATAAACCTCCGTAAGAAGACCGAGATTAGCTAATTACCAGGCAAAGAAAGGTGCAGGTGTCGAGACACAAACGCAATGCGAATAGTTGCAAGAAAAGGCAGAGAACGGTTAGGTGACCAGGTCAGGGTCTTCCAGCCTCTGGATCTTCTTTATTTCTTGCTCGGAGAAGTCGTCTCTTTTTAACGCTAATCATCGTCGTCCAGCTTCGTTTCGCCAAACGCGTTCGTTCGCGGTGCAAGCATCGACGAAAAGGTCGTAAAACGGTCGAACGTAGGTGCTCGTAGCGCAAGCACCACGTCGTTAACATCGAACCACCGGCTCTGACGCAAATTCCCGCAATCGTGGCTTCTGTTAACCGCTCGCTCCACTCGATTCTCTGATCTACGTAGCGAGATGCTACAAATTTCTGGCTCGCCTCCGTAAAATAGAAATGAGCCAGAAACTGTTGGACCTCGTTACGCGGCATTGTTCTTTACGTTCGGTAGCCTGCTGTTGACTGTTCGAACGAATTTCTTCATGAATAAGGTTCCTGTTAGACGCAGCCAGGAACAGGAACTTCAACCGAAAAGTACCTCCGTTCTTTTTATTTTATTTGCAAATATCCGTCGTTAAAGTATGGAGATTTCTGCAAATTATAACCGCCTCTTGTTCGTATTATAATGGCGTGTAATTGAAATTGCTTTAACGAGACACTTTCCTTCGGTTAAATCGTTCGAGAATTGTTCCGGGCGGTTGTCTACGATGTCTCGTAAAGGGACAGATTGATAGTCGTTTAAAAAAGTGAACTGGCCACGATCCGAGCAAATTAAGAAGAGAACGTCCGATGAGTTTTAATCAAGGACGCAGCGTAGATTTCTTCTGGGAACAGAAGGATAAAAAAAATACGATACGACTTCGTCTCGGTTAAGAGGAAGAAGTTGAGAAGAGCAGAAAATACGGTGGGAAGAAGAGTAGCGCTGCAAGGGTGAAACTTTATTTAATGGCCGTCTTATGCCGGCAGGAAAATAGAAGCAAAGCGAGGGAGTAAGAGAGCCTCGGCAGTTGGCAAGCGAAGCGCGACGAATAACGTTGCTTGTACGTGTGTAAAGCATGGCCAAAGATTGCTTACCTCGCTAGCAACGCGTCACGAGAAAATTTGGTTTCGTGCCTGCGCTCCGAAATTAGCTACCGTACCCTTAACACTGTCAGCGCCGCGCTTTTTCATCCAACCGATGCGTTGCAAAAGTAATACGGTGAAATTTTTATCTATCATATTTGTACGATATTTTCCCTTTCACAGATCCACGTTTGTAAATTTACATGTCGCAAATAAAGTTGCAAACTTTCTACATTTCAATGTTCCTAGGCCTCGAAAGTAAATTCTTAAGGGGGGATCCTGATTTAGGAGCCCTAAAAAGAGCGTTTTTTAGGGAATTTTTTTAGGACAGAAAAAAAAGGTGACCCTAGTGAACTTTTTAGATTATTTTACTACATGTTTGAACAAGAAAAAAACAATTTTTGTACAGAAAAATATTCAAACGCAGCCGATTTTTATGCACATCTGTGCAACGCCTTTCAATTGCAGTCTCCAATCGGCGGGAAAGATGCAGTTCGTAATTTTCGTCTGAAATTAAAAAATCAAAGAGAGTTCTAATTTTCATAGTCTTTCGTTCTATTTGAACTAAAAAAATTCACGAAAAATATTTTTAAACAACTTTTTTAGCAAGTTGAA